TATTATATCCTGATTATGCACGTATATGAATTTGATAGAATAGTGTAGTTGTTAGTAGATTCAACTTTTACTTTTCCTTCATGCTACATTTTATGGAATTAAATGTAAAATATTTAAAAATGCAAGTTTGGGGGAAAAAAAAATTTTCTTTTGAAAAGTCTTTTGAAAAGAAGTAAACTATTAAAAAAGAAGTAAAGTAAATTTTATTTGTCCTCAAATAGCTATGTATTTAAAATTAATTTAACATGACCTTGGATTGGTTATGTGCTTATTTATCACAGAAAAATAAGTTTAATTTTAAATGACAAATTTTATGTTTGTAAATATTATAATAAATTTTGCTAAAAGTTTTTAATAACGAAGGTCAATTCTAAAGTTAAAGATATCTGGTATGAAAGAATAAGACTATGTTTTTCTATTTAGAGTAAAGAAAATTGTATTTTTGAAGCGTTAATAATTTTAGAGTTTCATGTAAGAAGAAAAGAACGAAACTTTATAAAAAATCATAAACTAACATGAATTTATAAAGTAAAGAAAGGTAAGGAGTTTTGACTTTAAGAAGAAGATAGTGAAGTTCAAAATTATTAAAGGTTATCCAGATATAGTAATCCTCACTTGAAAAAAAAAGGATTGAAAAGATCCCAAAAGAAAAAAAAAGATAAGAAAAGAAAAAAAATAAAAAAAAAGAAAAGAAAAAAAAAATAAGTGAGGAGAAGCTTGAGGAGATGTCTAATCAAAAATTGGCTTCACTTGAATCAACTTAAGAAAAAAGCTTTATTACATTTTCTGAACTTGTATTGGAGTATTAATAGATTATTCGTAAATTTTTTATGAAATTATTTTTCATATTAATGTTCTAAGTATCCTTGATATGACAAATTGTCATTTTCTTGAAATGAATAGAGATTCAGAAATCTTAAATTTGCTTACTACGCACTCTTAGACTTAGAGTTTAAATCTAAGTTATTAAAGATTTTTCTTAAATTTTACTACTTTATTAATTAAACTAAAGTATAGAAATTTATAAGTTATTCTCTATCCTAAGTCATATATTTATGTAGTAAAAGGGTTACTTGAGGACAAATAATATTTAAGTTTGGAGGATTTTGATCCGCATAAGGATTACCTACTTTTACATATCTATTTTGTGCTCAATTTTATTGATTTTTAATGATATTACACTTTAAAGAAATGTATTTTGTATATTTTTGGCTTCAGGTACAATAAATGAAATTTTGGAGAAAATGAAGCAAAAATGGTCCGATTTGGAGAAAAAAATGTGCAATTTGAAGTAAAAACGAGCAAGAAAGAAAATTCTGACTTAGCACATCTCGATATGTCTTTCTATGTTTCATCTACTTTACATTTCTCACATGTTTTTGAATGAAATTACACTTTAAAAAAATATTGTTTTCATGTTTATTTTGTAGTTATATCTGTTTGTAGTTATATCTGTTAGGAATATCTGTTAGGAGCAAAACATAACTGAAACAAGGGTGATTCGGAGTTGAAACAAAGCCAAACGGGGAAAAACAGTGGAGCTGCTGCAAGGTGGCACATGATGCGCCAAAATCTAGAGAACTGGCGCATGATGCGCCGATTTGGCTCCAGATGAGTCGGAGACAGTTTTTTGCAGATTAAGACGGTTCGAGACAAGTTTTTGCGCGAATTTTCAAAGGGACACTTGTTTTAAACACTCAATGGAGTGATTCAATGCATCTAAACACTTTGGAAGGCTCTTTTATGAAGGGATATGTCTCATGGATCAATGAACATGTTATTTGAATTCAAATGAGTTGACTTTTGGATATAATTTTGGAGGGAATTTTGAATTCTTTTTTGGAGGGAGACGACCTTTGTCTAAAAGAGAGGTAAGTCTAGGGCTTGAAGAAAAGTTTTGGGCATGAGTTGGTGGTGGTGGTGTGTGTGTGTGTATGTGGCGTGAGAGTGAGAAGAAGGAAAGAGAGTGAGAGAGAGTGAGAAAGAAATTTAAGGGCTTGGAGATTTTCTTCAAGGATTGTAAGAGGAGAGGGAAGGTGACAAATTTCGTCTCCATTACATTTCTAGGAGAGAATTGAGAGTGCTTGTAAGGTGAGAAAGGCTTGAAGAGAACTTCTAGGGATTTGCTTGGCTAGGGATTTG